AGAGAGAGAGAGAGAGAGAGAGAGAGAGAGAGAGAGAGAGAGAGAGAGAGAGAGAGAGAGAGAGAGAGAGATTCCCTCGGTGGGGAAGGACGCGCTGGAGGGAAGAGTGGGAGAAGGGAGGTGAAGAGGTGTACGGAATAGCGTCATCATGATGGATACAGCTGACGTGGCGGCAGGATTGAAGGTGAAGAATGTGAATTACAAGATCCGAGCGGCGTCGAGGGAGACCCAGAAGGCGACAAATATTACAGATCCCGATCTACGTTCACAATGGAACACGGGCACGAACAGCAAGGAGTGGGTTGTGCTAGAGCTGGAGGTGAGAGAAACGCCGGCTTTATCGACTTTTTCTTTTTTTGCTTTTCTGTGGTTTGTCCTTTCTTTCTTTCTTTCTTTCTTTCTTTCTTTCTTTCTTTCTTCTGTCGTCGTTCTACTTCTCCTTCTTTCTGCCCTCTTCTTTCTTCTTCTTTCTGCTTTTTTTCTTTCTTCTTTCTTCTTCTTTCTGCTTTGTTTCTTATTTTTTGGACAGTGTCCTGCTACCTCCAGGCGGATCTTTTCAGTGGAGAAGGCCCCTCATTGAGGAAGTGCCAGGTGCGCCTCCTACTACCGTAGTAGCCTACCGGCAAGACAGTCGGGCAATGTGCGCGCGCGTTTCTTCTGAGTTCAGTTCCTTGGGCAATGTGTGCGCACGTTTTTTCTGAGTTCAGTTCCTTGGGCAATTCTGTGGCGTGGGGCAATGTGCGCAAGACAGTTGATGGGGGACTCTGTTGATCACAATTTTTTTTTTTTTTTTTTTTTTTTCCTCTTCCTGTTTTTTTTTTCTTTTTGTTTATAGAAAGGTCGACGGACTTGAGATATCATCATTGAACTGACCGACTCCGTCCGGATTCGAACTTGGGTGGGTATTTCATCAACAGTTGATGGGTGTACCAACTGAGCTACTGAGCTGATGGGTGTAATTCAGAATTAGTATTTCATTGCATTCATCTGGGTCCATCCGGATTCGAACTTGGGTGGGTATTTCGTCAACAGTTGATGGGTGGCGATAATGACAGCAGCCAACTGAGCTACCGGTAGGGCCGTTGGTCTCGACGGCCTTGTCTGTATGTTTAGTCGTAGACATAGCCAGCGAGTACTCTTTTTCATATATTCTTTTTTTTTGTTGTAATTACCTTTTTCATATATATATCGTCAAATAGAATTGCCCGGTAAACCGTAGGCAGAGAGGGATATATATATATTTTTTGTTTACGATCCACCGTCCTCACCCGAATAGAACGCCTGGTCATTATTGCTGCAGTCGAGCACTACTTCCAGGCCCGAGGTGGCGATAATGACAGCGTGCTATTGGGGTCAAGCTATAATGGGCCAGGTGTACTATTGGGGGGAAGCTATAATGACCAGGTGTACTGTTATTGGGGTGAAGTCATAATGACCAGGTGTTCTATTGGGGTGAAGGGGGTAGGGCACGTGAATTTCGCGATTCTATTCCGGTGAAGGTATAATGACCAGGGGTTCTATTCGGGTGAAGCTGTATTGGGGTGAGGACGGCACGACAGGTTAATTTCGCGATTCCGTTTGGGTGATCCTATGATGACCAGGTCTTCTATTGGGGTGAAGATATAATGACCACGTGTTCTATTCGGGTGAAGCTGTAATGACCACGTGTTCTATTCGGGTGAAGCTGTAATGACCACGTGTTCTATTCGGGTGAAGCTGTAATGACCACGTGTTAATTTCGTGAATTACGAAAGGATGAGTTTGCGGTTGCGAGCCCGAACGGAAGTCGAACCCACACGTGTTCTATTCGGGCAGCGATTTGCCAGCTTGGGTTGCAGGCTGTCAGGGATCTCCGGGGTATTGTCGCTTCTCTTGGCTTTGTGGGTTCGGGCCACGATTGGCCGACTTGGGCCGCAGGCTGTCAGATTGAAATTCCAAAAAAAAAAAAGGAAGAAGGGTGTATGTATTATGTAGCTTGGTCCCTTGTGTACGGAGAGAGGATAAATGCAAGAGGTAAAAAAGAAAAAGAAAGGAAAAAAACCAGCTGTGTATCATGAACGAATTACCTCGTTTGCGAGGCCCTATGCTTGCAGGGGTCCCCTCCATATAGTCTTAGGAGTAGTGTTAGGAAGGCAGTGAAAGGCGAAAAAAAATTTGAGAGAAGAACATAGTAGTTAAAAAAAAATAAAAAATGAACGATTGGATAAGCTTGACCTTATCGATCCACGTGGCTTCGCTCGGTTTCGAACAGCCGTTTGTTCTCAGCGCTTCTCTCTCTCTCTCTCGTTCTCTTCTCTCTCTCTCTCTCTCTTTCCCTCTCTTTGTTCTTTTCTCTCTCTCCTTCTCTTTCGTTTCTCAGCGCTTCTCTCTCTCTCTCTCGTTCTCTTCTCTCTCTCTCTCTCTCTTTCCCTCTCTTTGTTCTTTTCTCTCTCCCCTTCTCTTTCGTTCTTTCTGTTCTTCTCTCTGGGCTTCTCTTTCGTTCCTTCTCTCTTCTCTCTCTCTCTCTCTCTCTCTCTCTCTTGGTATCTCTCTTTCTCTCTCTCTCTCTCGCGCGCGCGCTCTGGTGAAGCTTCCTGATTGATAGTGAAGTTTGGGGTGCCCGTTCGTCACTGCATGGTACCCCCCCCCCCCCCCCCCCCTGCAGCATTCCCACCTCAGAGGCATTTTTACACTTAACTTCTTTTTGGCGTGAAAAGTCTATATACCCATTTCCAAAGTCTATACCCTAATCAGGTTCGGATCTTTTTTTTTTTCGGCGTGAAAAGTCTCTCCTCAACCTCCGCACGAGTGCATCCTGCTCAGGAGGCAGCATTAGCATATTTGGAATCCTCCCCCCATCCACGACCCCGCCATTCATGTGCTCAATATGAGACATAACCCAGTGCGGAGTCGAACCTGCGACCACCGAGAAATTGGTCTCTCAGCCAGCTCACCTCCTTTTTCTGCTCATCCAGAGCTTAGGACTACCACCATCTTGTACTCGACTCCTCCAGTCGTAACCAACACGCCCTCCCTCCCTCCCTCCCTCCCTCCCTTGTACTCTGCTTTTGCAACCAACCACTGGGACATGCACCGTCCGTCCGTCCCTCCCTCCCTCCCTCCCTCCCTCCTCGCTCTCCTCGAATCGCCGCATAACACGTGATTTTAGGGGCCGTCTCCATGAACCCTTCCCTCCCCCTCTTTACCCATCTAGGAAAGATTCGTTGTCTCAGCTAACCATCTCTCTTCACCGATTCAGCAAAGATGCGCTGTTACTGCCAACCATTTCCATCATGCACGGAGGGGATCCCCTCCCTCCGCCCTCACATTCTGTGGTACGTCCATACTGTCTTCCCCCGAATCGAACGCGTGGTCATTCTATCGGTATTTGGCCAACTTTCAGTCTAGATGCAGCGACAGTGACTGGGCGTTCGATTCGAGTGAAGACCGTATCCACTCGTTGGAAGCTGATCGTCTCCGTTCTTTCTTTGAGCCACTGCAACCGTGGACCGCCTTTCCGTTCGCTCTGGCCTTGCTATAGCATGTTGCTATTGCATGCTGGTATAGCATGTTGGTATAGCATGTTGGACCAGCGAGTCCTCTTTTCTCAAGCCCCTGACCTTACTGTCGCCAACAGCTGAGTCCTCTCTTCTCGAACGGTTGATCTGTTTGTCATCTGCCTACAGCAGATGTTATTTGGAAATCAAAAGGAAACACAGAAAGGGAATGCAGGGTGACACTACCGAGTGTGGTCCACTCTTCTCAAGCCCCTAACCTTACTGTCCCCCAACCCTACTTACGGTGTGTATATTTCGTATCATGCACCATTCAGCGAGCGGGGGTCATCGTTTTTTCAAGCCGGACTTGGTAGGATGACAAGTGGTAGCTGCTTGCAGAGAGCTCACAGGAGTGGCCATGGGAGGAGGTCTGGGAGAGATGGGAGGATGGTTGGTACCTGCATCTGGTTTGGATTGGCAATTTTTTCTGACGAAAACATAAGTTCGTTTTGTGCTAGTATGAAAATGAGTACCGAAACCAATATCGTTGTGGTGGTATGAATGAAAATAGAATTTTTGCTACAAAAAGACTTCCAAAAGCCAAAGCGAACTGAAGGCCATGCAGTGACGGCCATGCAAATAAGAAGAATTTGATTAGCTGTATCAAGTGGCTATGATGGTCAGTGTCCCTTCTTGATGGAGGTCTCACTCATCAAGGCCATGCAGTGACCACAAGGTGGACCTTCTGATGCTTATCAGCAATATGAATCCGACTGCATTCTGCAATACCAACTGAATGAACGAAGTAAGGATTCGCAGAGATATCGAGAATCAACGACGATTGTGTTGTGTGCTAGAATCTGGATTCGCAGAGATGTCGAGAATCAACGACGATTGTGTTGTGTGCTAGAATCTGAAAATCAGCGATCGCTAGAATTGGACAATCAACGATCATCCGTCGGGACATCCGTTAAAATTGGAACGATGACATCCGTAGAAAAGATCGGCATGGCTTCTGAGCAACGGTATGGATGTCAACGGTTTGAGAAATCCACATTAATTGAGAAATCGGTGATCCCCGGAAGCCAAAAAATCACAAGTCTTCAGACGGTGATCTGATTGCCCTCTTTCATTGGGCCTTTGGCCTTGTCAATCAAGCTTAGACAACGGTATGGATATCAACGGTTGTCAGAATCCAGATCAACGGTTGTCAGRATCCAGATCAACGGTTGTCAGAATCCAGATCAACGGTTGTCAGAATCCAGATCAAAGGTTGTCAGAATCCAGATCAASGGTTGTCAGAATCCAGATCAACGGCTGTCAGAATCCAGATCAAAGGTTGTCAGAATCCAGATCAACGGTTGTCAGAATCAAGATCAACGGTATGGATATCAACGGTTGTCAGAATCCAGATAAACGGTATGGATATCAACGGTTGCCGCTGAGGGTTGCATTCGAAAACCAGGCATCTCGAGAACCTGAAAATCAACGGTTGAGAGAATCCAGATCAGCAGCAATCTCCAGATGGTGATTTCATCGCTGCCGGGGCCCGCCCCCTCTTCTACAAATAAGGTACAGCCAAAATAAGGGTGTGTTGTGTTCGGGGGAAGATGGTAGGCAGGTGGGTCCCTGGCCCAGTAGGTCGAGGAGGGGATGGGAGTGAAAATGAACGCGAGAGGGTGGGTGATTCCTTGGCATCCCGTCGAGATGTCTGCCGGTACGCTCCATTTTCGGTTCTTCTTTTCTTTTCTTTTGTTTTCTTTCTTCTTTTCTTTTGTTTTTTGGGAAAGATGGCTCCAATCTATTCGCGGGGAGCAGTACGTGCTGGGAACCGGGCCCGGCGTCCCAGTGAAAATTTGTTCAGAGCAAGTGTAGCACCCACTGTTATTAGTGCTGGCCCCGGGGGGCCAAGCTGAGATAATGCTGTGCAGCACCCACTGTTATTACTGCTGGCCCCGGCGGGCTGTCCCTTCGGGGCATTGATTGCACTGGGGGGCAATCAGAGGATTTGCCACTCGGGGTCTTCCTTCCAGTTCTGTTTGATTTCAGCTGGACAGACTTTCAGCTAGCAATTGGTTTTACGGTTTTTTACCTACTTAACCATTTTACTGACAATTTTTATTCCGAGGCGACAATCCCCGAAGTTAATCAGATCCGATTGCTTAACCATTTTACTGACAATTTTTTCCCGAGGCGACACATCACAGTCCCCCGTTTGCCGAAAATGCACCAACCATCCTTAACCATCCTTAACCAACCATCCCTGACCCATCCTTAACCAACCATGCTTGACCCATCCTTAACCAACCATCCTTGACGTTAATGCCGGGGACATTGATGCACCCACCCAGCTCACGCGCCATACCAGCCAGCCTGAGCTCCCCTTGCTCATGCACCCACCCAGCTCATGCACCCACCCAGCTCATGCACCCACCCAGCTCACGCCCCATACCGGAAGCAAGGGGGAAGGGATCCGGAAGATCAGTCGGGGGCTTCAAGGGAAAGTTCTCCTCAGACGGTAGTCTCTCTTCATCTGCTCCCCTTGCTTCCTCTCCCCCCCTCCCCCTCTCCCCCTTTTCTTACCACGGATGCGATCCATCCTCCACTTTTTCTCCTCCAAAACTTGATGTCCTTAGGTCTGCGTCGCCGATCAAGCTCAGACTTGACTGCTAGCGTCTATACCCGAATAGAACGCCCGGTCATTATCTCTGTATCTTGACTGAAAGTTGGCCCAAATACAGTTATAATGACCTGGCGTGATATTCGTGTGAACACAGTAGCCCCCCGATAGTTGATCGAATTTTCTATTTGTTGTTTGATTTTTGATTTGTTCACTCACCTCCTCCCCCTCCACACGCACGTCCTCCCATCTGAGTGTTTGATTTCTATAATATGCCCAGACTCTGATTCTCTTTAGCCAATTCGGAACGCATTGGAGACAAAAAAAGACCCTTGGCTGTCTCTTTGACTTGTCGCCAGAACCCCCCAATTATGGCCATTGGCCCCTGGCTGTCATCTTCAATCCCATGGCCATTGGCCCCTGGCTGCCATCTTCAATCCCATGGCCATTGGCCCCTGACTGTCATCTTCCTCCATGCCAGGACTGCCCCTTGACACTGCAGAAAAAATGTGCCCTATCGTTTCTTTTTTTTGCCCTTTTTTTTTTTTGAAAAAGGCAACGGCCATGAGATATCGTGATTGAACTGAAAGGCCCCTTGTAAGTTCATGGGAATGATTTTATTCGGTTCAACTGGTTGCATCTGGATTCGAACTTGGGTCTGATTCATATTTCAACAGTCCATGGGTGTACCTACTGGACTAGGCCCGTTGGTATGTGCTCTATCGTTTCTGCTCTCTTGCGTTGAGGGGAAGCTGCACAGACAGCGTTTTTCTTTTCTTTTCTTTTTACATCTGTGTTTTTTTTTTCTTTCAAAAGTGTGTGCGTAGCAGACAGAAGGCTTCACTGGACTTTTTTTTTTGTGTGTGAGCTTCAGAGTCTGTTTTTTTTCCCGGAGGCTGTTTTTGGAAAAGCCTGTTTTGATTGGAAGCTGACAGATAGTGATGTTTGTTTTTCTATTATTTTGTTTCCGTTCATGTACAGGAAACATGCCTCCTCTCAAGTATTCGCATTCACAACAAATCTGTACTGGAGTGGGAAATATCTGTCGGATTGCGCTTCAAGGTGCGATCAGCTAACCTGCATGCGTGTGAGCTTCATCCCCGCATGTGTGTGGAGCCACGGAGCCTGTTGGAGAGCATACTCGCACTAGCAATTTCTTTCCTACCGTCTTCCCCCGAACACAACGCACCCTCATTTTGTGTTTATCGGACCGCAAACCTAGCCTCTATACATTCATAATGAGGGTGCGTTGTGTTCGGGGGAAGACGGTAGTCGGATCTGCCCACAATTGTGCGCTCATACTGGATGCATCTGACTGCAATTACAGCCTGTTGCGTGATCGTAACAATCGTCGCTTATCCTGGATGCATCTGACTGCATTTACAGCCTGTTGCCTGATCGTAACAACCCCAGGGGATCTACTGACGACCATCTGACCATCTCGGGGGAGGGATCGGATGGTCGGCGTGGGGAACCGAACCGACGACCTTCTGAATGCCAATCACGTGCTCTACCAACTGAGCTAGGCCGCTGGCCCGGGCTCACCAGCTGAGACAGTTGGCTTGCCCCCCCTCCCGACTGATCTCGGTAGGCAGCCAATCCGGAGGCTGCTGCTAGGCATTCTTGTTTACCCGAGATGGCACATTCAGAGTGAGCATCATCTGAGCGAGGGAGGGAAAATTGGGGAGAAACCTGTGGTGTAAAAGATGGCGTGTGCTGCAAGTGGGAATGAGGTTGATTAATCAGAGTGAACGCTGCATCGGACAAAGGTGATTATGTATGTCCGTAGGTGGTGTGAAACATGGCTTGTGCTGCAGTTGCTGCGTTGTTCTGGTGTGTGGCGAGAGCAGTGGAGGAGGATGAAGAGGAGGCGGCGCAGAGGGGAAGGCGGTTGATATCGATCAGAGTGGAAGCTTGAACCAGGGAGGGGAAATTAGTGAAGTTGTCAGGCCATCATGCGTGTGCCGTCAAGTGTGTGCCTGATAACTTGTACGGCAGATAACTTGTACCGCGGTTGTTGATCCCGGGATCAAATTTCATCATCTCGTCCGTTGCCTTGGTGCTTCCTGATAATGATTCTGGCTGCCTATCGTTGATGGTCGGGGAAACTATTTTGTGAAATTTTGTCATTGTTCATGGGCGGTTGTGGAAGTGCGATGGATGTCTATTGGGTTGGCTGAGTGAGGGCCTGGCCCCACTGCCCACTGCTGCTATGACAGGTTCGTGGTACAAGAGCACGAGCCTCGCCAGTCTTATTATGACTGGGTTCATGCCTTACAACCATGCACATAGCACGGGTGGGAAAATTGGCTTCTAAATGACCGGGGTCCTGTTGCACATAGCACTGGTGGGAAAATTGGCTTCTAAATGACTGGGGTCCTGTTGCCTGACCAATTCATTCACCTAGTCACGGTTAGTTTAGTTCTCAAGGTTAAATAGGAGTATTGTTTTGATTGAATTTGTTTGGCATGTTTGATTTTATATGACGTCCAGGGAATTGCCGTTGAACAATCTTAAATGCTAGAAGTAGTGCGAATCATGACGTCCGGGTCATTGTAGTTCAACAATCTTGATGCTGGAAGTAGTGCTAATCATAAGGTCCATTTTGTGCGTGCATCCAAGGTACTTATCTTGTTGTCTATTTGTGGTCCTGTGCCCTTTTTTTCTCGATGATGGATGGATTGCAAACTGGAATTCACAGCCGGACACGTTTTCTAAAGTGAAGCCCCGGTGCGAGGCACCACGGCGCGATGTCACGTATGTAGCCAGCTACGGCCCGTGCAGGTTTATCCGAATATCATGCTTACGTGGCAATCCCATTGCAATCTACTATGTACAGGTGGGTGCCACCTCACAAAAGCTTTCAGTGTATCGTAGGCTGCTTGGACACGTTGATTGGAACTGTGAGCCCCCCCCCCCCCCCCCCCCCCCCCCCCCCCCCCCCCCCCCCCACCCCCACACACACACACACACACACACACACACACACANAGAGAGAGAGAGAGAGAGAGAGAGAGAGAGAGAGAGAGAGAGAGAGAGAGAGAGAGAGAGAGAGAGAGAGTTGTTAAGATTAGCACATGACAGCGGTACACTATGCAGTTTGTAGTATGCAGTCTACTGTATGACATAGTGTATACTTTGCAGTATACTATCTGACATGGTGCACACCATTCATAATTGCAGATGGTGGATCCTATTGGTTGATACGTACTAGAGTAATACCGTCTTCCCTCAAACACAATGCAGCCTGATTATGGCTGTACCGAACCCGGAAGAGTAGCCTGTATATTCATTTTCAGGGTGCGTTATGTTCGAGGGAAGATGTTAGCGCATGACACTCAGATGAGTGTGTAAGACTTGATTACAAGAATCTGCAGGGTGGGTTAGTTTATGGTTCGTGTTACTCCCACGTTACTCCCAGTGACACCGAGATTCCCGTCGTGTTAATCTTTTTTGCGAAGGTTCTTCGCTAAATGTTTGTTACTCCCACGTTACTCCCAGTGACACTGAGATGCACGTCGTGTTAATCTTTTTTGTGAAGGTTCTTCGCTAAATGTTTAGTGATTGCCCTCTCTGCCCATATTACAGATCGCTTTGCACGCAGTGGTGCATCTGGGAGTCCTTTGTTAAATTTCGGTATTATCCTTGTTAGGCTTTATTCTTTTTTTTTCGAGCATGAGGGGCAGGGAAGGTTCTGGTTTGGTAATCCGTGCATTATTATGTGTGTGCATCTTTTTGTTTAATCCGTGCTTAATTTTGTTTTTCAGACATGAGGGGCAGGGAATCATGATAAGGGTGCAGGCAAAGTTTTCATTTGGCTAACCCTAAATCATTATGGTAATCCTTTTTCTGTTTGTAAGCGTGAGAGGCATACAGAGAAGGTTTTCATTCGGCAATTTGACTGTGTTTGTCCTGTCCCTTGTGCCTATTTGGCTGATCCTTATGTAATCTGTAATCTGTGTTTGATTCAGGTTTCCGGGGTTCCTGTACCTGGACTGGAGCCAGAACTCACCCCAGTTATTGATCATCTGCTGCCTCAGATCATTAACCATATGAGAGTGCCATCAGATCCCAACTTGCAGGTAGGGTCCCAACACCAGCCTCGCTGCAGCTTGCACCCATTTCCAGTCGCACTCCCTGTCTCGGATCTCGCCCACAGCGGAAGGTCTGAATGCCAACCTGGCTGCACAGCTTGAACCCAATTTTATTCCCAGCGCCAATCTTAGGTCCCAGCCCAAATTTCAGGTTCCGGCCCTAATCTCATGTCGAGCCCCAACCTTGTGTCCGAGACCTAGCTAGCCGTCACTGCTCTGAACTCTACTCTCTATGCTTCTGCTACGCTTTTGTGGATTTCTATATGCTCTTAATGTCTCTGCTGTTGAACACTTATCGGCCGCCGATCCTCACTGGTTTGAAGTCTCTCTGCTTCTTTGTGATTTTCTTTTGTGAATTTCTATATGTTAGTTCTCGTCTATGATATGATTGTTAAACCGCAAGCACACGGCCAGAGCCTTGCAGAAAGTTTTTGTCGTCACAAGCAAAACTCGGAGGGGCCGCGCGGTGTGGGGTGCTGTTGAAAAAGAAAAATTGGCGGCCTCCGAAGTGGTGCGGGTTTCGTGCTGACACCCGCAGGCCAATGTGTGGTGTACTGGTGCTTTAAGTAAAGGTCAAATCTGATGATCAGACGACTGCAATGCTCATTTGTTATGGCTGTTGCTGAGAATAGCTGTTGCTATGGAATGTGTTCAAAATTATATTCTTCTGCCTGAGGTACGTGCATATTGGAATGCGTGGAGAATGTGGAGATTTGTAGAAAATGTTGTTGTGAATTTAATTTATGAAATTAATGTAAAATATATAAATTGTTGTTGTGAATTTAATTCATGAAATTAATGTAAAATATATAAATTGTTGTTGTGAATTTAGTTAATGAAATTAATGTAATGTTTAATCTATGTAGTATGTACCTGTTCTGCTGTGTCTTGTTGTTGTGGTGCACAGTGTCACAGCTAGTGAAATTGATGAAATTCATGGAAAGAAATTTAGTGAAATTAACTACAGGCTACCAGAGTGGCAGGGGACCACTTGCCCGGCCGGTCCAAAAGAAATAAAACTAAAAATATTATTAATTTATTAATTATGTTATTGTTTTTAGTTATTTATTTTAAATTTGGTAAAGAATTTCGATGTGACCCTGAGGCAAAAGTTGTTCAGTTTATTTTTCTGCACACATTTAGGCTACCAGCTGGGCTGCCTGGGTGACCTTGTTTGCCCGATCTGCCCGGCCGTGCAAGGGCCAAAGTAGGTCCCAACCAAAAAAAATATTCGAAAAAATTATGCAGAAAAATATAATGAACAACTTTTGCCTCAGGGTCACATCGAAATTGTTTACCCAAAAAATAAAATAATAAAGTTAAAAATATTTTCTTTTTTTTTTGCCCCAGCCGGCCAAATTGTCCCGGGCCATTCTGGTAGCCTAGGCATACATAGTTTTTTTTTCTCGGATTTTTTGGATTTTATTTTCCCCTGGTCCTTGCATGGTCGTGCCGCCCGTGAAAACAAGGTGACCTGGGCGGCCTGGCTGGTAGCGTAGGAAATAAATGAAATAATGAAATAATTTCAAATAAATGAAAATTCTTCTGTCAGATCGATGTTCTGCGGTCATGTGAACCGGTCACCTCTCATCCCAAGCTGACATGATATCATGTGAACCAGTTGCTCTTTCCAGCGAAAGAAATAATGAAATAAATGAAAATTCTTCCGGTATTGTTGCCGTAGAGAGTTGTCAACAATGGCAACCTTTTGGGGCACATGGGGGGGGAATTGGGAAAGGAACCGAACAGAGAAAGGAGGAGGAGCATGTGCAGGGCCTTAGACGTTTTCCTTCTTCTTTGTCTTTTCAAAAGGCTGTCTTTTAAACCACCAGTGCTTGGCCCATCTATCAGCCGTGGAAACAAAATAAGAGTAAAGACATTTCTAGCCGAATGAATTTGGGCGCTCCTATAGTGCCCCGTACGTGTCTTAAAATGGTGCTTCGTTAACGGGCACAACTTTAGGAAGTACTGGTGGTTTAAGCCCAACCACTTCAATCGCCTAACCTTGCAGGACAGCCTGTGTGAGGCCTGTTTTTTTGTCATTATAATATTAGGTGGAACCCCGAATGTCAACTATGTTCTTTTTTTTTTTTGGCCTTAAAGTGTAAGCTAATAATGAAGTAAATCAAATTCAGTTAAGTTGTAAAACAATAAAATTATGAGGTGTAACACATGCCCTTGTCTTGTCTCTCAGCTGCGATCATGACACTGATCTTGCGCTTATGTGGGCTTTGTTTCATCCTCCTGCTGTCAACTGTGTCTGTTTCATTCTCCCCCCCCCCCCCCCCCCCCCCCCCCCCCCCCCCCCCCCCCCCCCCCCCCCCCCCCCCCCCCCCCCCCCCCCCCCCCTCCCCACCCTTTCCCACCCCCGCCCCCGGGGCAACGTAATATCGGTCATCAGTT